AGTGGGTATAATTAATACTGGGCAGTAGTTAGTCTCAGTAATGGCAAAATTGAAGATATATGGGTTTATTTATAATAATTGGCAATAACATCTTCTGAGATCTTTGGGTTAAAAAAAAAACCAACACCATATTCTTTGTTCTAGGTGTATTAAATCAATAGACTACTTTCAGCTATGTCAGATGTGACTTTTATATATGGATTTGGTAAATATTTTGTTTTTCAGTATCACAGGTTACCAGTTTACTGTATATTTCTGTACCACTAGCCAGACGGACTTGTCCTGGGTGATTTAAAAGCAGGAATATTCTACATTTATGAAGCTGGTTGAGACACCAGATTAAGAACAGACGTTTGTTTAGTTTCCAAAACCTGATAGTTCTCTCTTATGATTTACTTTTGGAGGATGTACAGTCATACAGTTAATACATAATCCAAAATATTTCTCCACTCCTCCTTTGTTAGAAAGACTCGCTGTGACTTTTACCCCTTTGGGTAGAGATGGGAGCATCCATTTCTAATTCTGTAAGATTATTTCCATGCAAGTTTCTGAAAAAAAATTCCCACCTGTGACCTCATCCTTTAGGGCACTTGGTAGCCCACGTGGGGCTTGAGGCCTTCCACCCCTGCTGTTGTCACGGAGGAGGGCACTGGTTTCAGGGAGAGCACACCAAGGCAGTATCTGTACCACCAATTTCAGGATAGAATTCCATGATTTTCAATGGTATTTTGAAATTTCAGGTATTTATTTGAAAGTTGTTTGTGGTTGTGCAAGGATGTGTGTGTGTGAATGTGCGACACAGTTAACAATTATTTAGCAAACAAACTGTAAAATTTGCAACTTCATTTTCTTTCCATGATCAATTAATTCAATTATCTTTGGCCCTCGGTCCTGTCATAGAATAAGTGGGGAGATTTTTGAACTACTAATTTTTTGATCACTATGCAAAATATGCCTAGAACATAAGCTTTTCAGCTGGCATTAACTGAACAAATTTCCAGTGGTATTTAAATGTATGACCAGAAAATATTTCTGCTGGCATTTCCTTACTAGTTAGCAGCTGTTACAACAGTCTCCAAGCATCTGTTAAGTAAAGGAAGACATTCTGTAGTATAGATTAATAGAAATGAGGAATAAGATGATAGGAAAAAAAAGCTCTTCAATACAACTGCCTTTTGTTCTTAATTGAAAAAGTGTATAAACAGACTGAATTCCAGTATGAATGTTAGACTTCAGCTGAATTCCAAAATTTACGCTGAGTGTAGCTTAACACGTTTAATTTCAGACATAACTAACACTAATCAGATAGGGATTTTTGAAAACAATTTATTCCATTTCAATGGAATTTCCATTTTACTAGCTATAATCTCAAATATGTAAATGGTAGCCAAAGGTGGATGTGATGTTTCAGTTAAGATTTTTTTTTTTTGCCCATTGTTTCTTCTAGCATCTTCTTGCCAAATCTTCTGGAGCGCTTGTAATTTCCTCTGTACAGAGCCCAACAGGCTCATCAGCAGCAGAAGGTAAACATAATAGATGTGAGGAATTTCTAGAGATTTATGAGGTTTAGCTTTCTGAAACGTACACTGTATCTGGCAGTCCTAGGATGTGGCCACATGTGGACTCTGTGAATTGAAAATGTTATAAATGGGGCATCATTTAGCCCTTGTTAGAAACAAAATTTAGGAACAAAAGATGCATTCTGCAACGTTTTCTATCATTTCTGCCCTGCAACAGCGTGTTTTAGCTCAAAAGCATAATCATCAGGGACGTTAAGCTTTTGTTAAAATGTCTACGAAATTTGACAAACAAATTAATATCCCTATTATTTAATAAATTAGGCTTACTACCTACAGTCACCTATATCTCTTCACATTGAAACCATCAGATCAGAGATCATTATACAGTAACCTAGGAATATGAAACTAAGGAGACTGGCATTATTGGGATTTGGTATCAAAAACTTCAGAGCAAAAAATGTAAAAGTAGAAGCCTCATAACGGTACCATTATTCTAAACATTAATTTGTTAAATTCTGCCATCTGTTTATGAAAATATAATTGAAAAATTGCACTCCTACATCAGTTTATTGAGCTGATAAAAGAAGATACATTAGCAAAGACAGAAATATGCCATCCTAATGATCATGATAATATCACTGCATGTTAAAGTGCTCTTTTAACCTTTTTCAGTGGGCTTTACTGATATTAATTAATCAGCTTGAATGCTGTCAACATCTTAAGCACTAGAGTGCTAGTTCCAATTCTGTGACAGGCATTTCTCTGCATCTTTTTCATTTATATGTTTAGCTAGAAGAGCCTAGAAGAGCATTAGCGGAACAGTAGAGAGGGGCCTCTTCTTCCTGCCCATTGTTTACCCATAGTATTGCATAATGGAAGAGCTCATGTCCATAAGCCTAGATTTTTCATGGCCTGTTTTATCACTGTTCTCAAGGACCTACATAAATGAAAGACGGGATCATTTAGAGATAAATGTTGCTGAGAACATCACTTTAGCCCTCATCATTTTCCGCAATACACTAGAGCAGAGGGAAAAGGTAGACTTTAGTGAGAAAGTTGGTTAAGCAATAGCTTCTCTGACTTCTGAGAAGAGTATCACTTGAAATGTTGCCCGTTGGTGTGCTTACAATCTAAAAACTTTGCATGGCAGCACTATGCTTTTGTTTCTGCCGAGTAATAATGCTCTGGGATGCTTCCAACTGTAGCAACCAA